TTTTTTTTTTTTTTTTTTTTTTGCTTTTGTTTCTGTGGCAACTCTCGTCACAAAAAAATGAAGTGGGAAAAAGGCCACGATAAAATGTTACTATGAGTTACTATTAATCTGAATCTTTGGGTAAGGTGGTAGAGCAGTAACAAAAAGAAAATAAAGGAACGAGTGCTAATTTGGGGAGTTCTATATTCTACAGCAATGTACTCACATCCACAACAAACAAATAACAGTGTCTTGAATGTGACTCCACTAAAAAAAAAAACAAACAACAAAATAGGAATACAAAGAGTTAACTACATAGTAAAGAGATGTGTGCAAAGAAATTCAAAGTGCATTTTCCTTTCCCCAAAGTATATCCCTTAAATTAAAAGAAAAAAGAAAAGTTAAAAAAAAAATCCATTTAAATTGTCTATAAAAATAAAAGAAAAAGAAAAAAAACGGCATATATCTTGGTTCATTACTTCAGCTTACTGTTAGGATCATTTAGTTTGTATGCAGAGTGTGTGTAAGCAGACTTGTAGACTGGCATGGCAGATAGAAATGTGAGGGGGGAAAAAAACCTCAAAACCAAAACAAAGCTAGAAAAATGTATTCCTTAAAATGAATGTGTTCTAACTCTTGGGAAAAAGAAAAAGAAAAAAAAAAAAGATATGTAGTAAAACAAAGCAAACCAAACCAAACAAAATCCTGCCATATCTATAAAACTGTATCTAAATGTTTAAAAAAAACATTCAGAAACTTTTCCGGTCATTTTTGTGATGGTGAGTTACCTCTTATCCGTATACAAACCGTGAGAGAGTCTTAAAGACACATCAGGGTAGGTGGGATACTATAACAACATTTAGCACATTGTTATACTATTCCACCCACCTTAATGAGGATCCTTTAGGTGTAGCGATGCCATAGCCTTTGGAATCCAGGTTTCCACCAACTTTCATGGTGTCGCAGGGCTTCCTTTGTTCGATGTATTCATTCATAGTGGACTCCAGCAAGTAGGCATATTTTCCTTTAGACTTTCTTACTCTGGCTACTCCTTCAGCTGTAGTCCTCACAAACACAGAGGGCTCTGCACTTCTCATGTAGGTCCACATTTTATCAAACACTGCAATTTTAGATCTCTGCAGAAAAAGAAGCCAAGAAAGCTAAGAGATGGTCTAATAGGTTTTGACAAAGCACAAAAAGAAATAGTACTATTTCAATGCCATTAGAGACGGGACACAGGCCAGTGACAAATATTCATTTTTTAACATTCTTCATGAATAGCAATTCTATCCTTATGTAAAATAATTTGGCTTTATATTATGAGGATCTCAAACAATTTGCTATGGCAAACAAGCTACTATATACCAAGAAGCAATCTGAAGTAGTCACAATTAATAAATTCACCATACTATCATAAGACTAATTCAACTTAAAATACAACCCAAAAGAATATTTTTACTGCCCAACTACTACATGATCTATCCCTAATTATTGGCAGAACAGGAGTCTGTAATGTATATTCATAGATAAGCAAGTGGTGAGATCATAAGGTAATGCCCATTTGCTGAAGAATATAGAAATACTGAAAACTGCCATTAGATATAGAATGGACAAATCTAGAATAAAACAAATCTTTTAAAGAAATATTTATTGGACATTTAAATTTTCTATGAACTAAACAAGGAAATTTCTCTTTTGAATATTTAAACACTAAAATACTATTCATTTCAAGATATAAACATTCTTATCGGTGATGGGAAACAAAGAAGGGCTAATTGAAACCATATTGTTGAAGGAATATTTATCTTAAAAACTGATTCAAAAGCAAAGATAGACATCAAAAGAATCTTTGAATATTTCCTGTTCAGAGTTAAAAGAGGCTGAGCATGGAGTTGGAAAGTCAAAGCATTTGGAAGTCTGCTTATTTTTCTATGCACAGTTTTCTCAAATGATTTTAATCCCTTTTGGGAAGGTGACTTTGAATAATCCCTTTTGTTATTCTAATGTAGGAGGAGGCTTGGAATGGAAAATTGATATTGAAAACTTTTAAAACTCATGAGATTTTTTTTTGGGGGGGTCTTATTTGATGTTTATTCCAAGGAATTTTAAAATTATAACCTTTATCTTACAGAAAGCAAGTCTAAGTCAATTCATTATAACAGATATATGAGAAATACAGATTTATTTAGAATGCTGTCCTAGGGAGTCAGGCAGATTTACATATAAAAGCATTTTATTTTGGTGACAATCTGACAATCAAGGGTCAAGCACCAATAGAGGAAGGATAGGTTTTCATCACTGAGGTTTACCACTCACCTCACAGGGAAAGGAACTAGACAGTGTAGCCTTTCTACACTTTCACCATCTGACAGCTATACTGAGACAGAGCTTGGGGACAATTTCAGCACAGTGGTTATGTAGTGAAAAGACAGGTATCCTCCATCCAAAATACTTTCATCCTAAATACATATCATTATTTCTCACTTTTTAATACTGTTTCTATCATCCAATCATTTACCTGAAGCACTCTTCAATCTATTTCTCTTACTAAATAATATCAATTCTTGTGATACTAGATTTGAAAATGCATTACCCTGTGTATCAGGCTTGCTCTGGGCTATGAACACACAACTACAAGATGGAAAGTTCTGCCAGGAACTCAGCTAGAAAAATTTTACCTTTACCGCCTTTACAATGATTGGCACAATATATTTCATATACTAGGTTCTTGATAAATGTCTGCTGTTGAATATTTGGGGATTTAATTAGGAAAATAACAGTTTTGCTTTTTCTGGATCTTTTCCTCCAGTAGAAATTGTTTATATTTTTTTTCTCCTATATTCTGCCTTTCTGTTCTCCACCAATTGCAAGATGCTACAGTATATGAGTTAGATTAAGTTGCATGCAATCTTATTAAATTCCAAAGTTTCTCTGTAAAATGAACACCCATAAAATCACGATGTTGAAATGTTTTGGAACAATATCATAAGCTGATAAAGAAGAATTCAGAATAAAATTACATAATTATCTATTCAAATCATCCATTAACCATGTCAATTAAAATAATGCTTTGTAATGTGAATATCCTTTGAGAAAATCCAAACATTAGCAATGAAATTTTGTTTTATTCATAAAAGATTTTTGTTAATTTTAAGAATATTTCTCAAATACAAATATATTATTTCTATGAATTAACAGATTTTTACAATGTAATACAGAAAAATGTATCTAGCTATAGTGTTTTGACTGAGTTTCTTGATTTCTATCTTTCCAGTTTTGAACTATTTAAAAATATACAAGATCTGGCATGTTACTTCATCTAGAACTACAAGAATTATTAAGATAAACCACTCATTTTTTTAATGAAAGAACATCACAGATACTATAATATGCATGACATGTTTTTTAGACTGAACAAGATTTTATGATAAAATTTTAAAATAATAAAATTCTACAAATTATCCAAGACCTTACAATGAACATTGCTAATGATGCATCAGGTTAAAAGTAGCTTTCTTTCATAAGTAAGAATTTTTGTAAGTTACAATATTTTTCCTAATAAGTTAATTCATTTGTCTCCTAGTTGTTAGTTTTCTGTTCACTTATTTTAAAAAGTTAATGAAGGGGGGATAGGAAGGGCAGAACAAAACAATAGACACTAGTATGGCCCTATGTATAAACGTGGCTGTATAACCAATGTGATCCTGCAATCTGTACACGTGGAAAATAAGATTTAAAAAAAAAAAGTTAATGAGCTCTATGTACATATATGAATACACCACAGTGAATCTCAACCTCATTTATATCCACAAGCATGGATTCCTAATTCGAATAAGATATATTCATTACATGCTTGTATAAATATATCAAATAGATTCTACTGTCATGAATAACTAAAAAACTAAAAGAACAAATAAAAAGTTTTTTAAAAAGTTAATGAGATGATTTCATAACCATATCTCTTCAAGAACTATGGTTTGAACAAACTTAACCAAAGGTGCACACCTACATAGTTCATAGAATCTGATACTGTTATGTCAGAAACCACCATTCATTAGAGTGAGATATTTGTTGATTTGTATTTTATACCTACTTTTTAAAAAATATTTTTTAGTTGAAGATGAACACACAGCATCTTTATATATTTTTATTTGGTGGTGACCATGGAACTCACGCATGCAAGGCAAACGCTTTTCCACTGAGCTACAGCCTCAGCCTTTTATAACTACTTTTAAAAGAATCAGACCACATTCTTAATAGAGACTCCAGCCTCTGAACCACTCATTTCTTAGAACATATTTACAAATATGCTTTTAAAAAATGAAGATTTTTTATTCCAGATTTTAAAATTTCCATGTGGTCAGCTAAGGTAATATAAACAGTGCTTCCTGTTAAAGTTCCAAATTCCAGCAATTCATGTTACATGCATTCAATGTCCTACATCAAAAGCACCCAGGAAAATTTAAGCAGTTGTCTGAAAAATGCAAATCAAATACTGATCAAATTGTCTCAATTAGCCCCTTTGTGTGGACTTAGAAGATGAACAGCTGGCAATGATGTTCACTACCTTCCTAAACCATGTCTAAATTTGAGCACATTTTAGCACAGTTGAAGAGTGAACACATACAAATCATACTGACTTTTTAAAGAAAGTGCATATTTTCCTATCATTTGTAATTCTAATTTGAGTTTGGGTTCAGGAAAAGAAACTATGCAAAGCGGAAAGAATCCATGCTCTTGTTTCTAACTGCTCCATAACATTTTTAATTATGAAAAAATATATGACATCAAATTTACCACTTAGTCATTTTTAAGTGTACCATACATACACATTGTGCTAAAGTAATACGCTTTGTATACATTTCCATGCACTACACGAACTATGCTGTATGTAGATCAACTGTACAAATTTCGTTCATACATTGTCCTCCTTTAGCTCATGGAAACCCAATGCTTTCTCTTATCTGCTCTTACTTCTCTAAACACTTTTTTCTTTTCTTCCCTACTTCCTGACTTTTATGGATGTCTGTGTAGTAAGATCACAGGCTTTTCTCTTGTACAATTTGTCTTGCTATAGTTTTTCAAAAATAATTTTAATTTAATTTTAATTTAATAAGTTCTTTACATTTTAATATCATTTATGTTTAATACATAAGGCTAAGCAAACTATTGAAAGATGAAGATTTAAAAGTCAACATTATTTCAGCTTAATTCAAAGAGACATTGAACTACTGAAGACTCATGATACACAGTAAAAAATGTGAAAGTAATATTGAAATTAAAATATTAAGATTTCTTTGATTTAATTTTATTTCGCTATAAATTACTTTTAGATAGAAGAGAGGCTATAATAGGGGCACTATAGAGGGGGAGACCCAACCGTTAGTACATTTTTAAAATATTTAAAATATTTCATTAGATAAGCATTCCTTTGTTTATTAACTCCTATTAAACTTTGATATTAAAACTATAATTTTGTATTAAAAGATTTATATTCAAATTCTCAGTTTAATGATGTCAAGAATCAAGTGAGTGGCAAATATTTTTAGAATCATTAATATGTGGTAGGTAATAAGGAACATTTCATAGGGGATCTCACATTTTTCCTTCTCTTTTTTAAAATTACAATTTAATAAATAAGTTACTTGTAAAGGATTATGACATATTTTATAGAAGGGTGATTTGATATGTTTGTTTTCATGAGGATTTTTCCATTTGACTAATCTACATTAAACATTTTTTCAAATAAAAAAATTTCAAATAATATTGAATTCCACATCAAACTATGCTTCTAGCACTAAAATGACAAAAGTTCTCAGCTTCTTAAAAATTGAAATGGCAATTATTGAAGTCTATAATTATAAATATTTTTAACAGTTTAAGATTTTCAAATGATTGGTAACATAACAGAACTTACAAACCTCATCTTACATTCCAAGCCCTTTATTTGAGTAACAAGGCTCAGAAAAATTTTCTTTCCTACAACAGCAGATTGTTAGCTCATAAAAGAACCAGAAATGAATTCCAGATATCTATATCTTCAAACATGTACATACAGACTAAACTGAGACACAGTGCTTAGATAAATAGTGTTCTGTTAAAAAGTCACTTGAGAATATTATAAAATTTTAGAAAA